AGAGCCCTGTTTCAGATGTGCTGCTGGATCTTGGTCCTGCCGGATTCAGATTTAAGGAAACACCACTGCACATCTTGAGTGGAAAGTGTTTCACCAGCCCGTTTACACTGGCTGTAGAAACAGAGATAAAATTGCAATCCATCACACTCCAGCCAGGACCCCCTCCTCCCTGCGGGCTCAGCATTTAACTGTTTGACATCCAAGCGAGACTTCTCCGGGTGGATAAAAAGACTGAGAAATAAGGACTGGAAAAATCTACAAATTACAGAACAGAGTGAAGCCAGGCATGGAAAATTCAACGCCTTGCTCAGAAATCAGCTGCCCCACATGAAGAAAATGAAAGCAGCAGGTTTAACGGGCTGAGAAGGTAGTGGGACCTTGTGGGTCATGCCAAGGCATTGGCAGATGCCAAACACAAGCTCTTGAAACCAAGAAGAGGAGATAAATCAGCCAGGTGGTGTGGGAAAGAAAAAGGGATAATCATCATTTTTAACCAGTGCCTGGAGCTGATAAACTGATGGTAAAAGCAACCCAGGGATGCAGGTGGCCACCCTGGCATCTCCCTCGCAGTCATCTCGGCCAACTGTGCCCAGCACCCGCTGGTGGCTCGGGGTCTGGCTGTGCTGGCCTTGGGGTTGGCGGTGCCAGGGAGGGCTCTGCCAGCTGGCCAAGCCACAGCCACCCAGAGCAGGGCTGGCCATCATGGCAGCAGTTCACAAGGGCCATCTCATGACTGCACGTGGTGGCATTGCTGAATGCCTCCAGGCTACCTCTCCGGAGTCCAGAGAGAAAACAGACATGAAGGACCAGCTCAGGGTGGGAGGTGGAGAGGACACAGACAAATAAACAGCAGAAAACCTTGGAGAGAAAATAACCAGGCACCAGAAAGGAAATGAACTCTAACGAGGGATTAAAAATAGCAGCAAAGCGAGGAGTCAAGCTCCACCAAGGCTCTGGGTTCACTTTCAAGGGCAGGCAGGTTGGATGGAGCCTCCAGGGCAGCTTGAAGATTCACACCCATCTGACAGCGATGGGGCACGTGAAGCCAGACCAGCTCCCAGCGTGGTGGCCAGGAGCTCTCTGGTCCAGCTGGTACCACCATTGGGTCCAGACATCTTTGGAGCTGTTTGTCAGTGTAAGCCACACATGTTCTCTGGGGTCATTCAAGCAACCCCAGCAGCTCTGCAAGACGCAGGGGAAGAGCCGCCAGCAGAGACTTTCTCTCCAGCTTTCAGGTGTGTTGTTTTCCCTTAAATTCACATCAGCTCAGCAACCAGGAACATGAATCCCCTGGAAACCTGACCTTCTCCTCCTCCCCAGCGGGAAGGCAGAATTTCAAACAGATTTACCAGTGCTGCCCTCCAGATGCTGTCATGGGATGACCTCAAAGTTAAAGACCGCCTGAGGACTCCTCAAACGTTAACCCTAGCTCAGTGCGACAGGACAAGCAGGCAGGGATTTCCCACACAGCCAACCTGGCAGCTGACTTGCTGTGCACAAGGAGGAAGATGGGCCAATGGGTGAAGGATAGTATTAGCCCAGAAACTGAAGGAAGGGCTCAAGGTGGTCAAGAATACATCTGGGACAAAAGTGAAAAGATGAAGCAGAGGGTTCCTTATGACTTTGCATAAGCAGATCTGGCTTTCCCATGCCAAAGCTTGAGGGACCTTTCCCACTAAGTTTTCTGAAGGTCCTTTCCTCCAAGAAAGCTCCTGAGAGCCTGCAGGACCACAGAGGCCCCTTGGTGATTCACACTGACTCTCCGCTGCCTCATCCTCGGAGGGAGCTGCCCCTGCACCGCGAGACAGCAGAGGTTTTGTGGCTTTTCCCACTTGTGGCTGAGAAGAACATCCTAAGCCTTTCAATGGCAACAGCTGAGCGCCACAGACACTGTGTCACCCACCGGCATTTCCATGAGGCAGACTTACCACCCCAACCACATCTCCTGGGCTGAGGGCAGCAGCTCTCCCTGCCATGCCCAAGCACTGCTCAAGCAGGGCAAGTTACTGAGCTGCGAACACTAACACTAGGCCTGCCAAAATCTCCTGCTCCTTTACCCAAGGAAGGGGGAGACTTCACCGATGATGCACGAAGGATACCTGTAAGTCCCAAATCTTCAGGGCCCACAGGCACTGTCAGTCCCCAGAACTGCCTCTCCTGTCTTTAAGCTTCTAATGAAAGATTTTAATGACCACTATCTCTGGCCCTGCAGTGGTTTCCATCAGCCTCCTCTCCCTCCTTAGCCACAGACTGGTTTTGCCCTCAGGAAGAAATCCAGTGTTTGCCTCCAAAGCCCAGACATCCCAATCAGGCTCAAAGGATGTATCTGAGACAGCAGCTTTCCTTCTATACACCCTACGCTGATCCCTTCTTCTTCTTAAAACAAATTCACATCATTTCCTACAAGCATGAACCAAAACACAAGAGGAGATGAATGCCACCTCCCAGGTCTGCTGGATGGCTTGGACCCTGCACACTTGCTGCTGCTGGGTGTTGGATCCATGCTGTGAGAGCAGGAAACCCAGTGCTGCTGTCAGGACTCATTGGTGCTTCTGAATTCCCCCTCCTCCACACTGTTTGCTTTTGCCTCTGAAATCTCCCTCTCTGCCTACAATTCCCATTTCAGGTCTTTTTCACAGCCTTGCCCTCTCCAGTACCTCCCAGCAACACTTCACTGCAACAAAGCAATCACTCTCTGTTCCTCATTCGTACCTCAGAAGGACATATTCTTCCCATGTTTTGTGGTGGTAGAGCACTGATCCCCCCAGTTGCAAAGCTGCAACTAACCCCAGCATGTCCCATCATGGCTGGTGGCTCTGAGCCACTTTCTCAGCTTGCATTTCCCC